AAATCCAGGATTTCTAGCCCAAATTTCCAAGTAAAGGAAGAGTGGAGCAGCATCCCTAAAAACACCTTCCAAACAGCTGGAAAAGCCTTTTCCCCGAGCTGCCAAGTTTCCATGAGGATTTGACAGCTCCAGCTGATTAATCATTCCCATTGAACCAAAAAGGGAAAACAATTCCATTGTTTTTTGGGAGACAAAAATTCCGGCTTCGGGAGCTCCGCAGCTGCTCCTCATTCATGGCAAAACCTGGGAATGTTTGGGTTTCTTTTGGGTCTGCCTCGTCATCCCAAAGGGATGATCCGACCCCAAACCCGCTGGTTTTTTGGGAATGTTGATTAACGCATGGTGTGATCACATTAATTTGGGAATATTAATTCATGGAAAAGTCTCCAAGAGGATTCCCTGCAGGATGGGGGGCACATCAAGCTGGAGCTGCTCCCAGAAGTTCATGAAATTCCATGTACCTGAAATTCTTTGGGAATTGGGAATTACACCAGGAGGTGCTTGTTTTCAATGGAGCCTCCACCTTTATTCCTCCTCATCCTCAAGGTTTTCCTGTTCCCCTTCCTGATTTTCCATCTTTTCCATCCTCTCCACCAAATGAGAGTGTGGGAGAGCCTGAGGAAAATGAGCAAATTCCTGAAAAATCCCAGGTTTTCCTGGATGCTGTTGAGGACAGCTCCAGCTGGAGATGATTTTCCCGCCGTGAATTCCCACATTAAGCCGTAATTCAGGAAGTGTTTCCATGAGAATCCTTGGATTCAGGAGCTTTTCCTTGGGGGAGTGATTCCGGTTTGGGATAAAAGAATGGGATGTTTGTCTTTGGAGCGGCAGCATTTTTAAGGAATGACAATTCCTGGTCTAACAGGGAACATCTGTGCCGGTGGCTTTTCCAGCTGCTGGGAAGGGCCCTGTGGAACAAAAGAGCTCCTGTTTATCTGGAGATCCAGACTGGGACGGTTGCATCCATAGGATTTTTTTTTGGGAAGCTAAAAAATAAATTTAAAAAAAATCCCATTTATTATATTGCCATCGACTCATAGCGATGAGGATTTTTGGGATAGCCTGGAATGAAGGGATGGATTCCTTAGCTCCTGCACTCTTCCTGCTTTTGGGTTGCTGTGGTCAAGAAAAAGTGGGAAAAATGTTTGGGTGTCCCAAAAATATCTCAGCTGGAAGTTGGTGTCCTTGCTGTGGAATGGGATTCAGCAGCTCCCTTCTTTTGGAGAGCAGGAAAATTCCCAATGTCCACTGGAGATCCCAA